ATTTATTTAACTGGTTTACTGTGTCGATCTCTTTAGCGATATATTTGTATACCCGTCAAATACACAGTATGTGTGATATGAAATTAGGTTTAGGAATGAAACGACCTGACAAAATGACAGAATACTTTCTAAAATTTGTTATGATAAAATTTAATGAGAGAATAATAACGGGTGGAGGGATCATGACGTTCAGTTAACTGTTTAACACTATAAAGTCAGATCGTAAGAATTGCTACAATGCTGCGTAAGGAACGTCTACTCCAATTCCAATCGTTGGCATGTGAATGTTATAAAATTACGCAAAGATCAGTCGTGCTATACGTGCGTAGGAAGGAATAGTGAGGGGGGTATAGATTATCTATAGGCTTCTTAATTAATGGCACCCCACTCTAACATTCCTTCGTAGTACTTAGATTTTTCTTAAGTGGCGTGAAAGTTTTGCTGGCGTTTACTAAATTTACGCGCCGTGAAGGTGAATTAATTAGCAAAACTCCTGTCGCTTGTAACGTGACGGCATTGTACGGGTCCAATAACTTCACGTACTTACAATTGTAGTCACAACATTCATTTTACTCCTTCCACTTCTAATGCGCTTAATTGATCACCCAACGTGACTTGGAAAATTGCCGTAATTTAACGGTTATCCTTAGCCCTTCACCTCTCAATGCCACCATATAAACGGCATGGCAATTTTACTCACTGGGTCCAAGCCTGTGTATAATCGGGAAAAATCGTTTTATTATTTTTCTTAACACCCGTACTGTTGGCGTCCGGTCACTTCTGTCATTTTATTTCCGTACCGTTAAACCTGCAAGGTAGCGTAAATTTATTTCTGCAGTCAGATTTAAATACTTCCGGCCTGTTAAGGGTTAACTAAAGACTTTATGATTAAATGGAAGGAAGTCGATCTTGAATTTTTAAATTTTATGGTGTTTGAAATTAACTTTTCTTGCCCCAGGTGTCGTAGGGTATCCTGTGCTCCACGCTCCACGCCTAAAATCCACAGTAGCCCTCTAGGGGCATGGGTTTAATTTTTGGGGTTTGGAAAAGTCTCCGATCTTGTAACCTGTGACTGTCAGGAATATACTGGCAGGTAGGCGATCTCATATAATAGATTGAGGCATAATTATCAGACTGTTTTTAAACGATATTATCAGTGTTCTATGTTTTGGCTCGAGGAGTGCAGCTCGTTTGTTCATTCTGCTATCTATTATGGGCATTGTAAGAGAGCGGGAAAGACTTTTAATAGGTTCAGCAGCAAAGACTTTTACTTTATGATATTTGTTGTAAATATTTGTCTTCGTAGAGCTTTCCCCATTGTGGCTTGGGCAACCGTGGGGTTAAGCCATCCAGGCAGGTACCCACGTGAAATCCATGTCACAATCTATAAGGATCTATAAGAATCTGCTTGATCTTCGATGTATGTAGCCCCTTGAAGTTTCGTTGCAAGTATACTAACTCGAGCGCCGGAATGCTTATATCCATGCAAGAGGATTTGTCACAGTGCGGAAGTCTTCTAATGACGATCTTTAATTGGCTTCTATCAGACTGATTGGACTTTTTGGTATATATATATTTATATATATACATATTTTTCCCCCCTATATATAAATGTACATTTTTCTATTTCATTGAAATTTATGAAGAAAATCTTATAATTAATACGTCTCGTTGAGAAAGACCTGTATGAACAACGGCGATATTATTGATTGCAAAAATCCAGACAATGCTCTCAGCATAGCTGCATAAAATCGTAGATAGATAGATACATATTTACATGTTTATACACATACATATATATAGTTATATATCCACATATATAGCTTTCATGAATCAGTCACGCGCCACTTTTTATAACCTCAGTGTTCGTAGAAGCAAAAAAGAGAGGAAAAAAAAATCGGGTAAGCGATAGAATGTGTCTCGAAGTTTGTTTCTTTCATTTTTCTTTTTTCCCCATATCGGACAAGAAATTGTTGCCTTTGTTTTATTGGCTATAAGCCAAGAAAAATTTTAAAACAAAAAAAAAAAAAAAAAAAAAAAAATGTAGAAAAACTAAAAAAAATTAATTTGGACACTTTTTATTTCACTCTCAAGAAATACGAAATAACGGACGGCACTAAAGCAAAAAAAAAAAAAAAATTAATAAAAAATGGAATTTTTTTTTTTTTTTTTTTTTTTTTTTTTTTTGAAACGGAAATGATTTTAGTTTTAATGGATCGTTAAGGTAAAAACTAATCTGATGCATCTTTGCTTTGGTCGCCGTGTAATGTAGGGATAATTTTCTTAAATTACATCGACTGTCAGTTGACAAAGACTGCTATAGACAGACGGACTCACATGCAATAAGCAATAAAATAAAAAACAAAAATGAAAAAATAAAAAACAAAAGTGAAAAAAGGAAAATTTAACTCATCCATAAAAGAAATTGTGACTCGAGAAAATTACTGACAGCTTGTTTGCTGCTTTTTAGTTGACTTGGAAGATGTAACAACAAACGCAAGATATGCAGAATATCAGAAAATGTTAAAAATGTAGAACGTTGACATTTTCACTTTAGCTGTTTGTTGTTTCACAAAACAAATGCAAAATGAAAAAAACCAAAAAAAAAAAAAAATACATAAAAGAAAAAGGCAGATGAACGCGAGTAGTTATCTATCTGCGAACAACAAAATCAAACATTTTAGCAATCGATAGCATCACTGTTATGTTCTCTGTAAACTGAACCGATTCGAAATTTTGAAATTTCTTTAAAATCTTTTCTTTTTTTCCCTGCCCGAAATAATAAAAAATATTTTTATTAAAAGGTTTATGGATTTATTTTTTTGTTTTACATTTTTCATTCATTCTCATTTAGAACAATTGTTTAGCTCAAAGCTAAGTCGTGGCGTGTGTCACGTTTTTCGATTTTTTCTTCGTATATTTGGCTTAAAGCCAAATCTGTGTATTTACGTGTATACATTTTTATATATATGCATAAACATACATATATATACATATACATGTATTTATGCATGTGCATGTGTTATATATATATATAAAAGTATGTATGTGCATAATATGTACACTTTATACATATGTAATTACATATATATACATAGATATATATTTATATATGTATGTATACGCATAATATGGACACTTTATACATATGTAATTACATATGTATATATATATGTGTGTATATATATATATCTGACGCTTGTTGCTCTTAAAATTTATACTTGGATTGCAATAAAAAAAAAAAAAACTGTTTAATACAAAACATAAAAAAAAAAATGAAACAAAAAAAATGAAAAAAAAGCAGACAACAAATATTTCGCCATATTGCATATTTTTTTTTTTATTTTAAAGATTTTTCTTAAATTACTTTAGACTTTAAAAATTTTATCCGATTGTTTTTTTAAAAATGAAAAAAAAAAAATTGTTTTTTTCTTCTTCTTCTTATTTATTTTTTTGCAAATCTTACTAGAACTTTTTTAAAAGAAAGGAAAACAGATTTTCGCAGACTGTTTGTGTGTGTGCGTGATCTTAAATTGCAAATTTGCTAAAAGAGACTTTAAAAGAAAATCTAAAAACCGGTAACCCACCCTTCAGCAATTTAATACGGTGTCGTTTCAGTTCCAAGATTTCATTGGGAAGAGCTTTTACTTCTTAGACTGTTGTATGTAACATAGAGAGGAAACATTTGTAGCCATTGAAGACTCCGCTGCGTGTATGCAACAAAATGTCAATCAACCGTTTTTTCTCTTCTGACGTTTTAATAGTAAAAAAATTTTTCATTACATTTTCGTTTATTAGCTTCGGCTTTAACTACCTTAAGTATTCTCCGATTTCCATCATAAGCAAAGGTAGTCCAGAGTCGGGTTATATCTTAAAAAGATGCCGAGTAATCTCGTTTATCCATCTCTTGCAAGGTCCGGAATCAGGTTACACCTAAAACCCATGCCAAGTAATCCATAAAAACCTTTTATCCAACTCTTCCAAAGGTAGTCCGGAGTGACGTTATATCTGTAAATCGTGCCATGTAACCGAAAAACTTTTAGAGAATCATTTGCTTGGAAAACATAGTTTAGATTAATTTTTTATAGCATTTGCTGTTTGCATAGTCAAAGTTTGGCAGGAAAGCCACATTTTTTGGGACCAGTAACTGTGATTAACTTGGCAAACAATTGCTAAGAACCATCAATCGATTTGAATCCGTCGTTATTCAAAGAACAAAAAAAGCAAGACAAGGTAATCTTTTTACATGGCATCCGTCCATCCGTCCGTATTAATAGCAAGCAACGCATTGAGAGCACTCAAGTGGGAAGCACTAGTTCTTGTGGCTAACCCTTCAAACTCCTTCCGAGTACTGCTTGTGTAGGTCGATCACTTGCCGAGTAGCGCTTCGGCTCTTACGAAAATATCCAAAAGTAGTTCGATGCTTGGTTTACCTCAAACGAATAATAATTTTTTTTAACTGTTTCTATTCATTTCTTTTTTCAGAAAGTAAATGAAGAAGAAGAACGAACCTTTCCTTTCGTTATTGATAAAAAGCGAAGACTTGTAACTTGAATTTGAAAATAAATATTGTTGCTCTTTACTGTATGAGAGAGAGAACCTTTTTCAAGATGACATTTTACGAGTTGACAGTATGTGACACGTTGACATATCAGTTGAAAGGTTAACGGGTAATGATAATGATGGCTACAGTTGAACTGATAAAGTTACTAATTAGGTAAACTTTTCTTACTTTAAAGCGCTTCGTGCGATTTGTTTTATTTTTCTTGTTTTTACAAAAACTTGACATAAAATATTTCATAAAATTATTATGAAATATATTTTATGGAAAAGTTAAGCAAAAAAAAAAAAGAAAAAAAAAAGAAAAGGAAAAGGAAAACATTAGTCATTAGCTATGACATTTGTGGTGTGGGTGATTTGTTGTTAAACATAAATGTTTTGATTTTATTTTATTTATATAAATAAATTAATGTGTGTTTTATTTTTTTATTTATTTTCAGATTCAGATTTGATGAAATAAATAATTTATGGATAATAGTTGTAGTAATCGTAGTCGTAGTGGTACTGGTACTGGTAGCCTATAATGATGAAATCACTTGAGTTATTATCTGTGGAAAAAAAGAGAAAAATAAAATTGTGATAATATTTGCGGCCATAATTTTTTTTTTTTTCTCTCACACTCAATATTATACAAGAAAGGTTAGTGAAAATTTGACAAAATTTTCTTCTTATTTTTTTTTTTATTAAATTTTCCTTTTAAGCTTTTTTTTTTTCATAAAATGAAACCCATAAAGTACTCTTCTTCAGTTATGGTTACATCTGCCTTTTGTTGTTGTTTTTGTTTATGTAAATTTGGTTAAATTGCTGTAAAATCTGCCTGAAATCTTAAAACATTTGCTCTGCTTTCTGTTTATTTATTTTATTCTTCTTTTTTTTTCGTTTGTTTTTTTATTTGTTTTTTTTTTTTTTTACATTTAATTTGCGAAACTGGCAAGTGTTGCAATTAAACATAAATATTGAAATGGCGACAGTTAAGTGACAGGTGCTGCCAAACACTCTGTGTAGATTACGCATTTATGTGCCTTCTTGTAAAAGTTCTATATGTATTTGTATATATATATATATATATATGGGCACATATATATTTTTATGGCTATGCATATGATGGTTATGCACATGAACAATTCCTAACACATGCTGATCATTAAATTGCACCAGCAAAAGTCATGCTTCGAATTTCTTTACATAATGCATAAAGTTTACACCAAAACGGGGGAAGAATGGACAGCCGCATTAAAGATCTTCTCTGAATTCATAGGTTTTTGTGTAAAACTATAAACTATAAGAAATTTTAACAAAAAAAAAAAAAACCTTACCCTAAACCTAAACCTTTTCTCAGATCAATTCCTAAGACCTCGAGGTATGTTGTCTTTTCGTATAACACGATGACTGCCAGAAAAAAGAGACGAAAGAGAGAGTGATAAAAAAGCGGTGGCCGTGTGTAACCACTGACTATAGTTACGACCAAACTTAATTCTGCAGCACTTGAATTTAAAGCCGCAAACACTGACTTGCGTAGTCACGGTTCGTATCTATGTGCCCGCTACTGCGGTGATCGAATTTTTAAAAAAAATTTTTATTTTCAATCTGAAATTAAGATATATATCAACGTTGCACTTTTCGTTACATTGCCCAAAAATTTCGATTTACTTAACAATGGAAGCAGTTACAGCAAATTGAAAACCTTTTTTTTACCATCTGTTATGACCAATCGCTCAGAATGTGTTTTCCTATAAATGTGACACGGGAGAAAGAAGTGGTGAAAGACTGAAAGACAGAGAGAGAGAGCGAGGTGAGTGAGGGGCAATACTGACTTGGTTGGTCGCAGTTCTTACCTATGTGGCCACTCGAATGTTCTTGCTTATTATTTCCTTTATCCCTTTAAAAATATAAGCAAGCCATTCTTCAAAAGTTACTTCTCTAAATTTTTAATCTGCTTGAACCGCGAACTATAGTTCATACGTAAACAAAAAACTCGTAAGATATTTGAATATTGTTCTTATTTTCAATCTAAAATTAGCATATATCAGCGTTGCGCTTTTCGTTACTTTGCCCAAAAAGGTCCATTTACTTAACTTACTCCAAATTGGAAACCCCAGGAAGTGTCCCGGGATGGCTAGAAAGAAGTGGGGAAAGAGAGAAAGGGAATGTAGGGAATGTTTTATCCAATCCAAAATTGCCAAAGGAAGGTTGCTTGTGATTAAGCGAACGATGTTTTATAATAAAGTAGTCAGTTGGGGTTGTGTTTGAGTTCATTTATAATAGGCTACTCCACTGAACTGCTTTCCCAAAGAAAAGTTCGTTTCACTCCAATTAAGTTCAAAAACTTGTCGAAAAATGGCCGTAAAAAGGCTAAGTTCCTAAGACGGATGTATAGCTGATGAATTTGGGTTGACATCAAAACTGTTGGGTAAGACTGTAATGTTATAACTGCTCTTCCATGCCTTCCTTGTTGACGTGGCATTTCGATAATGACACTGATTCGGCCCATGTTATGTCGCGGGAGTATCAATTCGTGGTTTACATATATACGCATATATATTCCTTCAACCATAGGTGTCATTTTTCTTCATTCTTGGATTTTTAAAGTGTCATCGCGCTGATATTTGACATTTGATAAATACAAATGTGTTGGTTTTCCGGTGCGGAATCTGCAATGTACTCGAAATGCACATAGAATTATGATTTCTTATACAAAATTATTCTGTGATGTGAAAACCCAAGAGAAATACCAAATAGCCAAACAGTCTTTTGCGGTTAAATGAATGGCAGTTTAATGCAGTTTTGGGCTCTAATTGAGTTGGAGATTTTTGATAACGTTGTTGTTTGCTTATTGGCAGTAAATGGATTGACTTTCTTTTGGCTTATATTTGAGACTATGGATGTGAAGGACGTTTATTTTCAGCAGGACGGCGCCACTTGCCACATGGCTCGTAGAACAATGGCATGATTGATTTAAAATATCGCACACCTCTTGATGAAAGATGCTATGCACCTATTTTAAATTGGCCCTAGCTCAGGTGAAATACACCCACGCCGGCAATCAATACTGTAAAATTGTCACCCTATAATAATATCTTATTTAAATTATTAAGTGAAAAATTCGTATCAGAAAATAATGAGTTGTGATGATGAGTATTGCCTTTTCTTATTGAAAAAATTAATGATCAGAAGCACAGCCAGGTTCAAAATAAATAATTATTCAGTTTATTTTTAGGCTGAGAGTATTAATAAGTGGACTTAAGAGTAAGACTTTTTATAGCGGAGATTGCAAAGAAGTTCGTTGTATAACAAAGAATATCAATCAGCAAAGAAGCAACTAAAGATGAAAAGCATACCATGTTTTCGAGTTAAGGTCTTAAAAGCGAACCTAAGTTTAAGTAATTATTACACATATAGCATTTATTATTATGAATTGTGAGGACTATCCCTACCGCGACCTAAAAGATTTATTGTGCTCGCCCGTGTTCCTAATTCTTTAGCTTTAGAGTTCTAATGAATCCCGCCGGCTCGCCGAACATTCGGGTCAAATTCTGCAGGTGGCCCCACATTCACACAGAATATGATAGAACGTCTCATTCGTGCCTTGGCAAAATCTGCATAAATGGGCTTCGGAGGTATTCATATTATTCTGTTGGTACTTGAGAGAATTGTGGCCCGTGTAGAAGCCTGTGATCAAGCGTAGGTCGCTCTTTTTTATACTCCAGTAGTTTAAGTGTTATGCGGGAAGATTTTATAAATTTTTTTGCTTGCCGTTGTCACGCACATTGCTTCCAATGGCAATCCGATTTTTTCTGTGCTTATCGCAAAACCATTCTATTAATATGGCCTCTTGGTACGCCACAGAAAGATTCAGGCCCTAGCCTGATCCCTCGGTCCCTCGTATTAACTACAGATTTAACCTGTCCACTATGGTTCCTCGAACGCCCCATGCTAACTAGGCAGTCAGCCCTACATACATAGTAGCTGTTATGTAAATACCCGCGGCCGCAGTCTCCTTGGATATGGCGACACGTTCGCTGTAAATTGCATAAAATACTTTTTCGCTTACGTTTCTTTGTCGTTTGCTTTATAAAAAGTTTTTAAAAGTTTGATTATAATAATAATTTACTACTCAAGTTAAGGCGGGTGCTTGAGATCATCCAAAATCGAATTGGACAAACGTGCTTTATAATGAACTCTTTAATAAGATTAACAAGTAATCTGTCCGTCCGGCTTTTAATAAATACTGCATGTTATTCATATTAATAAAAGAAAAAAGATAAAAAGAAATAATATTTTTGAAAATCTTTATTTCGTCTTTTCTAATGAACAACTAACGAGCATTCATTATTGCAGTCTTTATAGTAATTATTTTAATGACAAGTGAAAAAATTCTGACTAATAAGAATGTTATGCAGCGCGAAAAAGCATAGAAGTTTTATGAACATCATCATAATTTCCCCAAAACACAAAAAAGGAAAAACTAAAAAAAAAAAAAAACAAAAAACAAAAAAGAGGAAGAATAAGAATATTTGTAGATCTTTGTGTCAACATAAGTATGATTTTTGTTTTATTATTATTTTTTGTTTTTGGCATAAAGTGCTTTAATGACCAAACTAATTGAAAGTTTAGAGAAATAGATTTAAAAAATACTTTTTAAATCATCTCAGGTCTTAGTTATTAAGAAAAAGAAGTAAAGACAGTATAGTGGGATACGGGCCCACCATTACATTCCCGACATCAATTCGTTTAATGCAATTGTTCGTCCAACGACTTTTCAAAACAATTCATTGTATGGGAAGTGATCGAAAAATTGGGGAGAAGCGAATCATTTTCAATAGTATTCGTCCTTGAACAAATCATATGAAAGGATCACAAAGTTCACAATCGATAGATTGAACACAAGAAAACACACCAAACAGACGGACAAACAATGTTAAATCGATTCTCTGTTAAATCGTGGCTCTGAATCCGGTATAATAAAAGGCGAAAAAAGTATAGAAAAATTTATTTATATAAATTTTTCGATATAAATATATATAAAGAATTTTCAAAATAACATCTTATATTGGAAGTGGCTGGCGAAGTGTTTAGGTCCGAATCATTTCCAATAGCGTTCGTCCTTGTGCCCAAAACATATCTTAATCCCTGAACACAAGAAAATAAAACGGACAGACGGACAAATATGCCTAAATGAATCTGAATCGATAAGGAGAATAAAAGGAGACTTAAGCGCTCGTGACCAAAACTCTCGATAGCCTCGAGCATTGATGTAATGTGGACTATAGGGTGCTTATGTGTAGGTACATCGTGAGCATGTGTTCTACAGAGGTAAAAGAGATATGTTCACTTTACCAGGACCATAGTCGAGCATTCTCGTCCCATCTTTCCGTCCTGCAGTTGCCCGCACATCGTACGACGACTCCATCTTTTCATCCCTTTCTACCTATAACCCTTCCCGATCACTGTCGTACTCGCACGTATAAGGGGCATACCCTAAATGGTTGGTTATATACCAAAAAAAAAAAAAAAGAATATATATATTCGTATACATATTATATATGCGACATTTCCTAGTGTTGCATACACATTGATAAGATAAATGTATTCCTAGCTTCTGGCAAACGGTATTAAAACTCCACCGTCGCCAAGCTTTC